TTGTCGCCGAATAGTTTATTGGTTGCTTGCGTAACTGTAAATTGTTTTATTTCCCTTGCAGTACAGCGCGTGACGAATATTATGAGAAAGCTAAGCTGGAGAAATTAAAAATACAAGAGCACGTGCATTTGACATTTAATAAATAAATTTAACATCTATATGTAATAGAATTCGGAAATATGCAACCGGCAAAAACCGGCAAAGATGAAAAACAAATAAAATGAAATAAATAAATACCTTTATTATATGCGGCTTAACAGTCTGTTTGCCGTCAATAGTTTATTGGTTGCTTGCGTAACTGTACTAGCCAATGGGGTGAAGTTGCCACGGCACAGGGTTGCCGTTTCAATTGAGACGTAGACAATTTCCTGTAAAACTTGTCTTTGCTATGACCATCAATAAGTCTCAGAGACAAACGCTTAAGCGTGTTGGCATTTTTTTTTACCTGAGCCTGCACTTGGACGCGGTCAACATTATGTTGCCTGTTCAAGAGTTCGTGAAAGAACGGACGTAAAATTAAAAATAATGGATGGTCCTCTGCAAGGCGAGCTTAAAAATGATGGAAAGATCTACACAAGAAATGTTGTGTAAAAAGAGATCTTTGACATGTGAATTAACATTTTCTTATTTAAATCACCTTTACTTATTGAGCTAGCGGTGGCTCTTAAGAAATATACCGCCAGTGGTTTCTTTCATTGAACTCTACTTTAATCAAGTAGAAGGGGAAAACACCGTAGGGCAGTGAGCAAAGGGGCGTCCTCGCCGCCTGCCCTGGACAATTCAGTTTGAATTAGCAGACACCTTTGCACAAATCATTTTAATTACAATTTATAATACCTAGAACAGCAGTCATTTCGTATGACCGCCGGGCTTTCCAGTTCTGTATGTTGCAATTAGCAAAAATAAGAGCTTAAATTTAGCATTCAAATTTAATCAGTCTGTTGTTGATTAAAAAACTGAGCATTTGCAGAATAATAAATGTAATTTTTATTAATTTAATTCATTCGTTTATTTTTTTAATAAGGACCTCTGGTTGCTAAAAACTGATACATATTTAATTTATAATATATTCAATAAATATATTTTATGAAAATTTGCATTGTTTTTGCAATTGATAAAAAGGCTTTAATTCTGTATGGTGCATAACTGATACAGAACTGTTTTTTTTTTTTATTTTTTAGGTGTTTTACGTTTATAATTTTTTTAATATTTGGTACTTTTCCGTTTTGCCGGCGCAGGCGATGAAGTCGCCAATATTGGCACAACTGATGCAAACGGAATATCTTAGCTACTAACCTTTTACGCCTCATTTTCAAAACAAGTCTCAGCAATTTATTATCAGATTGTTTCTTTCAATACTGGCATACAATTACATAGAATTTTTACCCAGAAAGTTTAAGTTAATAAAGGCCATTCGCGATAATTAAGTCAATTAGTATGCAATCACACCGCTCGCCCGAAGGCGAAAATAAAGGCAAAGTCAAGGGTTAAATTCATCAATTCTAATGAGAATGCACTAGCGAAGTAAAGCACTGCGGTTTTACATAATTTCTGAGCAAGCTATTCGTACGAATTGAAATAATTCTTGCATTTAAACTTGCATTCCAAATCAAGATTTAACTTGAAATGAATGTTGATAATTACTGTGAGAATTAGACTTTTGTAGCGTAGTTTGCGTGAGATGAGGTCACTTGGGATCACGTGATATGAACCGGGGAATCAGGATGTTGAACCATGAAAACAGTAAATTTTTAAATCAATATCTTTTTACAAATTTATGGTCTTTATTTATTGGCTTTTTACAAAATTTTAAACGATATTAAAATGTTTATGCCTTCAAGATAAAAAAAAATCTTAGAACTAACATTTGTTAACATTTTTTATGTGTATACTGTATGTGTCGCCAATAAATTCTGCTTGGCGAGATTTGCGCCGGCGAAAAGTACCTAACATTTTTTTTTTTATTTGTAATGGTAAAATATTTTTCGAAGTGTCAAATTGTAATCCGAAGTCTTCGAATTGCAATTTTCATGTTTATTTTTCCTCTTTCTGTGTCTTAATTCTTCTGAAATCAGTACAAAAGCAATATACAATTCAGTACTTGTAAACATACAAGTACTGAATTTCATGTCAAATTATCGGTCTCATATTTTTTTTAATTAGTAATTTTAATTGTTTATTGCAAAATGAAATATGCTTTTAAAACAGTTCATGCAACTTCTACACCATACAAAGAGATAAAATATTCCCCAATAAATGGAATAAAAATTTTAGGAATTGAAACATGGCAGGTATTTTCGCAACGCGTGTCGTAATTTTGTAAATTTTTTCGCATGGCGTTCCTTTTGAAAACATCTCGTGCTGCCATCTACCAGGAAAACAGCGAGCTGAAAGCAGGGACACATATTTGTTTTAAAAAATCGGTTAAGTAAATGCTTAAAACAATGTGTAGGAAAGAAATAATAAATAAACATATAAAATAAAACGAATAAATAAGCAAATTTACAGACTTCTCTGGAAAATATAAATAAATCATTACTTCAATGAAAACTGCACTATTGTAAACATTATTCAGTATCACTTTAACTCTGTTTTCTCCTGTATAACTGGTCGATTATTGAAAAAATCTGATGTGTACACTACATGACTTTCATGACTTCCTTGTACGGAATATTAAATTATACGCATTTTTTCCTGCATTTCATTTAAGCTTTTTTCCTCGAATTTCGTTACAGATATATCTCTCATTCAATTAATTCATCTCTCACTTCGCAACAAGGCAAAAATACATAAAAACTGAAAATATCTATATTAAAAATTGAAAGATATAGAAAAACATAAAACACCAAATGCAGTTAAAACAATTAAAGAAAAAACCAATCTCTACAATTAAAAATACAGTTTCTACACAATAACAAGTAATTCGGCCATCGTGCAAGAAGGCAGATTTTTCGGTGCACAAAACTTAGTTTACTTTTGGTCTCACTCTGCAATAAGACACTGAAGGCGTAAAAACTAACTGTATTTGTTGTGTACTTTATGCTGAGTCAACATATGGGATAATTTAATAACTTACATGATAATTCCAGAATGGAATAAGCATGATTTAATTCCCAATAATAAAAGAAGACGTTACTTTGTTGTTGCAAAGCTTAGTTTCTCTAGATTGGTTTACAAATCCACTATTCTGCTAATTATGTAAACAAATACGGCTGCTATGGTAAAAAAATTAGGCTTAGCCGCACTTAAAAAAACTTTTAAATTGTTGATAATTCTACATCTATAACATACAGGTTAACTAAAGGCAAAAAAACTTTACCCGGAAGATAACAACATAATTCAATCATTTTTAAAGTACAAAATGCACAATTTACCAACATATAAGAATTAAAAAATGAGCTCACTGAATATATATATATATATTATTTATTTATTTACTTTCGGTGCGGCAGATTGCAACCAAAAAAGGAGGTGCACAACTGTATGTTACAGCAGTCCTACGTATATATACAAAGTCTCAATGTTCTGAGGATGCTCGTTTTTGAGTTATGCGAGATACATATATATATACGCACTTATAAAATATCTTATAAAAGGGTACACAAAGCATGAAAATATTTATTGAGCCTTATTACAATTTTTAAGCCTTTTGTAAATAAGAATAGTACTAAATATCCAGAAAGCTGAAGGAAGTCATAGATAAAAAAAAATGTGATGTGTACACCACACGACTTGTAGGGAATCTTAAATTATACGCAACTTCCCTGCATTTCATTTAAGCATATTGAATATTAAATCTACTTCGTGGATAGCGCATAAACCACAATAGAATAAATGCGATCTTTAAAGTCCACTATATTTATTGTATCATCTGAAGAATTACCAGAAGTTCTGTTGTTCTAATACTATAATAAATCTAAAACGATGTATAAAAGAAATTAAACAAATAAAAATAGAAACAGTTTTTGCAGACGATTCAGCGCCGCTTACATAACGCACATGCGCTACTAATTAATTCAGTTTTCACTTCACGGCAAGGCAAAAATACATAAAAATTCAAAACATGTTCATTAAAATTTGAAAGGTACAGAAAAACATAAAACACCAAATACAGTTAAAACAATTAAAAAAACAATTTTTACAATTTAAATTACAGTTTATATGCAAAAACAAGCTAATAAGTTAATAAGTAATTTAATTCGCAATAATAAAAGAAAACGTTACTTTGTTGTTGGGAAGCTTAGTTTCTCTAGATTGGCAACAAATCCACTATTCTGTTAAGTTTAAAATGTAAACAAACATGGCTGCCATGGTAATAAAAAATTAGGCTTAACCGCACTTAAAAGACTTTTAAATTGTTGAGAATTCCACAATTATTGTATGCAGGTTAACTAAAGGCATAACAAAATTTTAGCCTGAAAAAAATAATTCAATCATTTTTAAAGCAAAAAATACACAATTTACAAACATATAAGAATAAAGAAACTGAGCTCACAGAGCCGAGTAACAGAGTGAATATATATATATATTGTATACTTTTCGTGCTCTCGATTGCAACCAAAATGTGAGGTGCACATCTACATGTTATAGCAGTCCTATATACAAAATTTCAATGTGCTGAGGCTACTCGTTTTTGAGTTATGCGAGATACGTACGTACGTACAGACGCCACGAAAAAATCTCTTCAGAATTCATTTTAAATCAGTTTTACAATTTGGGGGGGGGAGAAAGAGTTCTTTATTCTATCCTTACTTACAGATGTTACGCAAAATATTGTAAAATTGCATTCGATAGCGGTCAAATTGGATAATTTTTCGATGTTACAATACTTCCTTTTTACTTCGTACAAGGAAGTAAAAAGATATTAAAATGCTCCAGCTCCTTACAATAAGGAGGAATTTGTGGGCACACTTTCAAATGCTTCTGTTCTGCTGGAAAATTATAGAGATGTTCTTGCATAAAAATGGCAAGCTATGCATATAACAATATATTTTTTATAGTTGCATCTTACCATCAAGAATATGATAAGACGACAGTGAGAGAAACAACGACAAACTTATCTACCACAACTACCTTTACGGAAAGAGAGCAGCCAGAACCAAGTTTTTTTTCAAATTTATGGCGCAAGATCACTAACTTTTTCGCGCCCACTGAGACAACTACGACTCCCGAAGAGTTTTCCAAATTCGAAGAATCGGAGGATAACACAGAGCGACCTATTCGAAGAGTGGCACCTCAAATAAGGAAAGGTAACATTAATCACGACTATAGAAGGTGGCAAAGAGGAATGGATGACGAGCAAATCCGCGGAAGTAAATACCACCGTATTTTTACTCTGCCTGTGTTGAATATTGAACAAATATTTGATAAATTTGTTTTACGTTATTTATTTCTTATTTTGAATTAATCAAAAATATGAAATGACAATATATAAAAATACACAGATATTAAAGAGCACAACCATCATAGTTTCAACAAAATATAAAAATTATATTAAAATAGGCAGTACAATTTTTATTGTCTCCGTCCACACTGAAATTTTAAAGAGGGCAAATTTCTTTGTTAAATGTAATAGTTAATCATAAATGCTGAACTACTTTCAACGAACACAATTTTGAAATGTCGCACGGACAAAAGAGCATTCCGATTTACACAAGTAACACAGAAAATGATGCTAGCATTTCAAATTATTCGATAGCATTTTTCAAGAATACTCTTATTGCCTTTTGATAAAACTAGCACATAATTTAAACGCCATATGCTATCGAACCAACCTTCAGCATCTACACTGGATTTTGATGTTTCTTAATATTCTATTAACGTGCATATTAAATAGCAGTTGTTATTTATTAAGAATTTTACTTGAGTATTTCTTTGATATCTGAAAAGGGAATTTTCGACGTTTCAGATTTTCAGTGTGTCATTGATGCATTGGCTATCACTAATATTTTTGTATCGAAGTGATTAAGTTAATCAAGACATTTAGTTTTTCCGCCATATCTAAGAGAAATTTTAAATGCTTTAAAATCTACTTACGTTGCTCAAATAAATATATATATACATATATAATTTAAACAAATTTAAATTCTTAACAAATTACATATAAAAGTAAAAAAGTAAAAAAGCAAATTTAATTAAAAAAGTAAAAAAAAAAAAAAACAAAAATTCTAAAAAAAAGCAAAATTAAATTTATTATTAAATTTTAAAAAAAAAAAAAAAAAGCAAATTTAATTAAAAAAGTAAAAAATAAAAAAAAAAAAAAAAAAAAAAAAGCAAATTTAAATTCTAAAAAAACAAAAAAAAAAAAAAGCCAAAATAATTAAAAATAATTTAAAATTATGCAAACATGTAAAGATTTAATTCTCGAACTAATCTACAATATCATTTAAATTCAGAAGCAGAAGCATAAGCAAATCAAGTGCAAATCTATCCATGAAGATAAATCTACTAATTTAATAAATTAAAATTAAATTAAACAATTTTTTTTAAAAATGCATAAGTGAATGATCGTAGAGTAGTCAGGAGACAGACTTATCAAGGGGAAGTTGCCTCCAAACCTAACTCTCCAATCATTCAATTCGTGTTTCGTCATTCATGCAGGCAAGGGTAAAAGTCAAAACTAAAAGTTATTCCAATAAAGTGGTACCCTTAGAAATTAACATTTAAGTATTACATTTAAGAATTAAAGTTCAAAAAGGAAATACTAATTAAGTCTTTTGAGAAAACAATCAAGTAAAGTCAAGAATTAAACTTTTTTTTCTTAAAAATTAAATTTTTTTAAAAGTTTATTTTTTATAAATAATAAAAAATCTAGAAACCAATGTATTTTAGAAATCCTTGTCTACAGAAACTTCCCCTACACGAATATGCACATCAATAAAAAGAAACTATAAAAGAACTATACATAATCCATATAAACTAATAAGAAATAAAAAAAAAAACAAAAAGAACTAATTCACAATTTTTAAAATAAATATATATTTAAAAATATAATTTCATATTTAGAAAATTCTTAGATACTACATAAAAAAGTTTTTTAAAAAAAATATTTAAAGCAAGTAAATAGCAAGTTTTAATTCTAACTTACCTACTATATGAGTGTTGGGGTCTGCAAAAGTGTTGTGAAAGAGAAATAAGTGTGTTCTTCAAATTATATAGATGGCGCTTATGTAGGTAAAGTTGAGTGTCAAGCTGCTATCTTTGTTATAGTAAAAATTTTTTTGTAAATATTAATATTAATTAAATTAAATTAAAAATCCTAAAGGTAGTAATATCAATTATTTAGGGAGTTAAGTAACTGAGCTAATCAAGAGATGTATGTTTGCTTGAAGGAAATTAAAGTGAAGTGGTATGTGAAAAAAAAAATGTAAACTGTTTGTAATTTGAAATGTGTGTTCTGTTGAAAAAAAATTGTGTGAAAATTGTTAAAAAAAAATTAAGTGAAAGATATTTTTGTGAGAAAATTGCAAAAAATTAAGAAAAATTGAAATGTTTTAATATTAAAGTTTTTAAAAGTAAAATTTCCCAAAATTTTTTTTGAAATGAAGTCCTTAAAAAAAAAAAAACCTCTAAAAAAATTCCCAGAAATTTCTCAAAAATTCCTTAGGAAGTTAAATAAAACTTAAATTTGATGAAAGAAAATATTAAAAGTTTAATGAACTTGACTAAAACTATCAAAACTTAACTAAATACTGGCTAAAGTATGGAAAATTAGAAGAAGATTAAAATCTTCACTCAATTCGGGCTATAATTGAGACTTTTGAAAAGAGTTGGCCCTTTATCAGTAAAAGGAAAGAATCCAGTATTGATTAAATATACATATTTACAATAATTTCTCCACTCTTCTATATCCTTCATTACCCTTCAGCTAAGGTTTAAGGTAATGTTATCATATCCAAAAGAGCCAAAAAATTATAAAGTAAAGTCAAGGCCTGCCTTTTTAATATATAAATTAATAAATTTTGGTGGTACTTGGTTATCAACTTGTACATTTATTCGTTTTATGATTTCTTCCTTTAAATCGTCATTTTCAGTACATATATTTTTTATTCTGATAATTTGGCTATGAAACGTGTTTTCTATTACTTTTCTAGAGATATTAGAGTTCCAATTAATTAGTTTAATAGTAGGAAAATGGAAATTCCTTCTTTTATCAAAAAAATTTATTTTGTTGTGTTTAATAATTTGCAGGTCAAGGAATTCAATAGTATCTTGATTCGTATTCGTTTTATTAAGTGTTAAACTATTTGGGTAAATTTTGAATTTCTCAAAAGTAGAATTATTATTGAAGGTTATAATAGCATCTATGTATCTAAAAGTATGAGCAAATAGCTTTAATTTATTTTTATTTAAACTGAGTTGGAATTTATATTCAAATGTAAAAAGAAATAGGTTACAAATTTGTGTAGAACTGTTTGCTCCCATAGGAATTCCTCTAACTTGCTGAAAGATCTTATTATTGTATTTAATGTAGTTATTAAATAATGCACAATTCAGATAAGTATTCCATCTATCAATACAAAGGATGTCAAGTATGTCAGGAAAAAGTTATGGGAGTTGCATTAAACTAGTAAAAATTTCTTCTAATGGTAGAGAAGTATAAAGGTTTTCAAAGTCATAGCAGTTAATGTTCTTGATTGTTAAACTTTTAAAACTGCTGAGAACTGGAGATGTCTTTTAGTTGTGTTCATTACCTTAAATTGAAAAGATTATTCTACTACTTTTATTTTACTTATGACAGTTCTTTTGACTAATATATTTCTATTAATTGAGTATTGTTCGTGACTTATGATCTAGCTCTAGCAGAATAATAATGTTGCATGCGTCTGGGTTCGCAGTAAATTGAATGCACAAGTCCAATTAAAAAGACAATAAAATTTATTATTATCACAACAAATAAAACAAAATGCATAAATTTCCTCAGATATTCGTACAATATTGTAATATCTCATAGTAGTTATATTTTAAACTACTAAACGTTCAACAGAACTTAATTCAAAACACAGACAGCTAATCTGATTTCACTACAATCATTACCAGCAATAAATAAACAACTTAATTAAGATGTTTTCCTCCAGCTTTTTATAAGCTTTTTAAATGCACGAAAAAATTATCGTATTTTCTCGATTTTTCTGGATATTAAAAGAGCACAATTACGAGATATCTATTATTAAAATGTTAGACGCGTGCGTGTGCCCCTGTATTTAATTTTTCCGGCACAGATTTCTCTTCAAATAAGTCTTGTGCTGCATTGCACGGGAATATAAAACAATTTTAATTACAAATTCTATTAAAAATAGCTAAATGAAATAAATACAAAAACCGCAACAATAATTTGGTCCTTACTTGGAAAAAAAGACGAAACACTCTCACTTAATTTAGTTATTGTTAATTGACAGCAGATTGGTTTGTTCCCCGAAAGGTCAATGAGATTAACTGCAGTCAATGACATTAACTCCTTTTTCAGTACTTAAAATGAAGTACTGAAAAAGGAGTTACTTGAAAGATTTCCAATTTGGGAGAACAGATGAACTCAGGGGGAGAACATAAAATATAGAATAGTCAATCATAAGATCGCTAATAATTTCTTAGCACAGCCATCATATTTTATTACATCTTATATATCCCCATAATTTTAGATATGCAATTACATTTTAAATAATAGCGAATAGCTAACAGAAGCTGAGTGACACGCTGTCAGCAGGCAGGCGACGAGACTACGCAATTAGTCGTTATTTATACTAGGTTACGTGCACATGTGCAGCTGAGCTGCGATTTTAGGTTTTAGTTCTCCTTTTCAAGCAGCGTTACGTAACTTGGAAAGATCTCGAATTTGGGAAAACAGATGAACTTAGGGGGAGAAAATAAAATCTAGAACAGTCAATTTTAAGGTTGCCAATCTTAATCAATTTCTTAATGCAGCCATTGTATTTTATTATATCTTAGACACACACACACACACAAATATATATATATTATAGTGATAATAATAATATTCAGCTTCAAAAGTGCAAAATATCCATTCGTTTCTACAGTTTCTTGTCATTAACATTCAAAAAGTGTACACAGTGACTACGGCTCAGTAACTTATCGAAGGGTACCATCATTTGTGATTGTGAAAACAAATTTGATATTATCACTATAAAATTCAAAACTAACATAAGGTTTCTTTGCCCGTGAATGCAGCCTGAAAACAAAGGCATTTAAGGTTAAAGCACAGATCAGCTATCAAGAATAGGCAACCAGATAGTTATGAGTCTGGATGACAATGTTTGTAAAAAAATACATATTGACTATATCTTTGTCTTGCAAAACTTTTGGGTGACACAAGATAAATGCTCGAAATGAGGATGGCCATTATTAACCCTTTGTTGCATACAAATAATCTAGAGAAGTTAAACGAAAATGTTTGTATTTTTTCTACTTAAAATAACCTTAGTAATAATAAAAAATTTTATTCAAATTTCGTTTTAAATAATTGCTACAGTTTGTTCACCACGGTGAACAGCATGCATATACGTACATGCATACAAATCTCTTCCCAACGATATGGTAAATCTACAACTGGCATGTACATGCAGATCCCCCAAAATACCTTCATTTTGTCGATTGTCAATGAATTCATTTTGCTACGATTTTGTAATCTGTACCTATTGGATTCAAATGTCAAATGTTCTAGAAATTCCTTGCCAAACATAAACATTTCCAGTGGTGTTTTGGCTTGGTAAGCAGTACATTTAGGTTTCAATTCACTCTTTTTGGAAGATCTTATCTACCCACTCCCCAATTTTCTCAAACTGACATTTAAAATAAAATGTCCAAAATTATTTATTATGAATAAAAAATGGCAGTATAAGAACATGTAAGCAATATTATATAATGTTTACTATGAGAAATTGTACGAACTTGGAAACAGAAGTAGTAGCCATTTTCCAAATAGCAATGCTTCACTTAGTGATGCTATACAGCCATCTATGATCGACAGTTGAAAGTTCTAATAATATAGAATGAAACATGAAACACAGGAATGGAATTTGTTAAGGCATTTACAGAAGAATAAACAAATTTAAACTTTTGTCTACTAGAGTGGACATGATGCAACAAAGGGTTAAGGTTTGGAACATCCTATATGTTCTTCTGTTTAAGGGCATCAGTTCAGCTAAACCGTTGTGACCTACTGCAGAGCAACAGCGATTACCACAACAAGAGGCCTTCGAGTGTCCAAAACATTGGCCTTGTAGTCAATTCATAAGATTTCAGATATCATAAACAGCAGAGGAATCGAAAAATTTACTTAAATATAAACTTCCAACTGTAATGGCTGTTAATCTTACACGATACTGTGCTTAGTTTGTTGATATTTAACTTTCAATTAAAATAAATATTAAACCTGAATGTTGTGATCAAGCACTTATTGTTATTTCTCTTTAACATTACTTATTTCGAAAATTTCAGATGGATATTTCATAATTTATCCCACGGCATCCACATTCTGGCGACATGATCAGAGAGAAAAAATTGGAAAGCAAGAACAACCACGCATCATCCCAGCTTCGTATGAGGTAAGGCCCAGTTACTTAAGCAGACAACTTTTGACCATTCTTTCTGTCCAACCATTAATGAATAGAGGAAAAGCAATTATTGAGAGAACAGAGAAACGTCCCAATAAAGATCGAGTTACTGTATTCGTAGAGGAATTCGATCAAGGGGACGAAGAAGCACAATGGCATAAAAGGTAAGAGGTTATTCTATGCAGGTTACCTTCTTTTGGTACGAGTAAACGGAATCTTTATACAGCATCATATCAAATATCATAACAAGTAAATTATGACAAACAATAATACTTTATTTTATATGACGCACTTTTAAACGTGCAGTATAGCAATAGTTATACTTAAAATATGCTAAGAATTTTAAACATGCATTAAATGAGCAAAATTATATTTAAAATAGATAAAAAGAAAGATGACGATGAAAATTGTATACAAACGAGAGGAATAATCTCAACTTCAGTGGGGAAACTCAACTGCAAATTAGAAAAAAAAAAAATGAACATTTGAATATTCACAATTTGAAGAAAAGATAACCTATTTGAAATTTCATTTTAAAAATAGGGTATGATAACATAAAATTTTACTACTATTTGCTACTTATGTTTCAAAGACCAATTAATTTATTTAAATCCTGAAACAGTTTAAAGTAACGAATAATTATTTAAAGCTGCCTCCAAAAACCAGACTTTAAAGCTTATTATAAGGATGGCTTGAATAACGAATTTAAAAAAAAAAAAATATATATATATATATATAAACCATTTCGTTGTTTATTAGCACAAAAATTAATATAATTTTGAATCCGGTTTTTTCGCGTTACGTACTATAACCAAAATATTCTAGGTACGGAACATAGTTGAACTATATAATAATTCAGAACGAAAAATACTTAGTACATCGCAATTCCCCAAAACAATCATTTTATGAAGAAATTTGTCCTTATCCTGCATGTTGACCCATCATAGCAATATGGTACAGTACCAACACTAAGCATACATATCACAAAATTATAAAACTGTTCATCAGATAGGAAATTTCGCTCTGGCAGCACTGTTATCCAAAGTTCCAAACAAAATCTAGGAGGTTAATGAACTCTTATGAGTCATCTCTTATAATGTGTCTCATGAGGTTCAGTGGGGTATAAAATTGTGAAAGCAAGGTGATCCACGTAATACTCTATGTGAAACAACTGTGCATGATCTATTTGTGCCTCTATATGATGATGTATGTGAAACTTCGTTTTTCTAGATGTTGTGCCTCTATATGATGATGTATGTGAAACTTCGTTTTTCTAGATGCTTCTTCATTAAGCTAGCCCGAGGTGGACATGAATACAGGAATCAACGTCCAATCGTATTACTGGATGGCACGACATACAAAAAAATACCTTGATCTTTGTAGAATGTTATAATTCTTCATTCGTACACAACCAAGGATGGATGTGGACATCCACTAATATGTTATTCCACAGTAAAATACCAATGTTAAAAAAGTGCTCAAGAATGTCTGAAACATTGTGTAAAGTTCCATGTGCTTTATGGCTGAAGAAATGGAATTAATCACTTTTTAGATTAAGCTCAGATGCATTTAAATCAAATAGTTCAAAAATGCATCCCAAATGAAAACTGTGTTATTAGCGTGTTTGCCTGAATACAGCTTTTAAAACTCGAGGAAATTGTAGTCCCAAACACTCCTGAATTCATACTAACAATAGTTTTTAGAGTAGAGGGCAAGTAAAAGATTCAGGAATTAAACCAGGAAGGCAATTCTTACATTTTCTGGAAAATAAGTGCCCTTAAACTTAATTTAAGAGTATGGTGTTAAATCTAATGTCAGAATTGCTTAACCCAGAGGTTCTCAATCTGCTATCCGCTCCGTGAAAACAAAATAAACAAAAGAAAACTTGAACAAGAATTTTGCCAAAGTTCAATTTCGCACTGAACCAGAATTTTGCCAAAGTTCAATTTTGCATTTCACCTAGCAGACAACAAGTCGCTTGCTAGAGGACGTGTGATGTAATAGCGTTTTTGATAAGATGAATTGTAGGAAAACAAATGTTTGGTTTCCCATAATACATTACCCTTCCTCACCCCTTAAATACTCTGCTCGATATTAAAAATGCAACACCAAGAAGGAGTGGCCCGAAAATAATGCAAATTTCAGGGTAGACGCACGTCACTGAGTTATGGGAGTGATGTAAAATGTGCAGTTCTCCAGCGCACGGGTAAGGAGATATAAGCGTAGGAACCTGCAGAATGTACAATTTTCGTGCTGCTATTTCTGCTATGGAAATCATCGTAGAAAATTTGTTCTTGTCTCAGAGGATGCAAGTAATAGCATAGAATGCCAGACCATCATCAACGAAGGCAGTTCTAGCAGACAGACGACTTTACGAGGGACATTGTGATCAGATTGAAAAGGACAGGTTGGTCCATGTGGCAAATCTTAGCTGACGCACATCTGGATGTGTCCGGCTGTGGTGACGATGGTTGGATGAAGGAAATGTGCAGTGCTGCTAGTGCATCGAAAGTGACGTCAGCAAGCGTGGATCGATGCCTTCGCCAACAAGCGATGGGTACAGCAAGCCCACTCTACCTCCATTCTGCAGCATGTTCACCATGGATGTTCCCATATAGTCTAGATCCATTTGCCATCAATTCGTGGCTAGTGAATTGCACTTGTGGCATTCGTTTAGAAGACTGCCACTGACCCCACATCGTAGACGTCAACATCTGCAATGTTGACGACAGAACGGCACAGGGTCGTGTTCTCATATGAGCCATGCTTCTGTTTCTCCAATGATAGTCGCGCGTATGAGTGTGGGGTCGACGATGAGACAGGTCCAATCCAGCAGCAATTGTGGAACACGCGACATCATGGTGTGGGGAGCAATGTCGTACAATTTCAGGTCACCTCTAGTTCGTATTCAGGACACGATGATGGCCCAATAATACGTGGATGATGTACTGTAGCCGGTGACACTCCCCTTACCTTTAGGCAGTGCCCAACACCCTTTATCAACAGGATAATGCCGACTACACACTGCTCGCATCAGCTAACGTGTTCTACGAGGTACACAGATGATTTGCTGGCTACCATTCCCTCCTGATCTCTCACTAGTCGAACACCTTTGGGGTGTGACTGGACACCATTTGCAGACCCTGTAATTTCCACGTTCAGAACTGGGGCAAATGGTTGGCAGGGAATGGACAGCAATTCCTAATGACAGCATCCGTAGTTTCATTGACTGTGTACCTACATGTATTGCTTCGTGCACCGCCGTCCAAGGTGGTCCTAAAATGTACTGAGTCGACGCTGTTCCCGTTCTGTATTATGCATATCATTTTGAAATAAGGATTACTTATTGTTCGTTGCTGACTCTCTCTGTTTTCCGAGTTTCATTACTTTCTGGCCACTCTTTCTTGGTGTTGCATTTTCAATGTCAGATGGTGTACTAGAAATACAGTTGTGCGATTTTGGCCTGTTGTGCCCTCATTGGTATAATGATTAGTGATGCTGGCTCACGCATTATTGGTCCCGGCTTCAAATCTTAAAAGAAAAATGGATGCTTCTAAGTGTATAGCATATGTACTTCATAGGGGTACTTAAAATATGAGAGTTCTTTTATGTGCTTTGGGAAAGGGGAAAGAAGGGTAAGAGCCCTTTGAACCCGTCTTTCCCAATGTGCTTTCTATCAATTATTGCATGAACCTTTTGATATCACTATAATCTACAGTAATACAAGTGGTTTGATTTATTAAGTTTTGAAATAACTTTCTTATATGGCAACATCTAGATAAAAATACAGGCAGTAGTTAGTAGTTGAGAATCAATTGAGATATGGTAAATTTCAAAATTTTAAAAATAATTTCATTTATGGGAAACTTGTAAAACATTACTGGGCATAAAGGGGCTTTTCCGAAGAAATATTCTGCTGATTTAACCTATCAAGATTTTTCATCAGAAACTGACGTGCAGATTTTATGTATATATTATAAAATACTTGTTATACACACAAAAGAAAAATTTAATACATGGAAAAAACTTTTCTATCATCAAATATCTCAAAAATTTAAAGTTATCTCCAAAGAACACAATTGCATCGATTGTTTAAATAGGGCATTGGATTTACAAACATTATCTCATAGTCATAAAAAATAAGCAAAAATTAACCTTAGATTGTTTTTATTGATTGTATTAGATTGCATCACATTAGATAGATTGAGGTATTTTTACACCAATCTTCCAAGGAATAATGTAATAAAAAACTACAACAATTGAAATTTTGGATTAGTAGTTTCAATGATTTAGTTTTTACTTAAGAATCATCTGTACATCACCTCAAAACTCAAAATGAGTTAAGTAACAGGATAAAGAGACCTACAGTTCTTTGAATCTAAACTGCAAGAATAGATATGTTTAACAAATATCAAATCTCAGTTACTAATTCCATTTATTTTCAGGTTTGGGAAAGGCCAGATCAATAACCAACAGAAAACAGAAACAATCATTATAGGATCTGATCCAGTGGAAAATATTGACAATGAAAATTTTCTTGACGAATTAGAATCCAACACAGAACCAGATTTTATTTCTGAGATTAAACAAATTATTGTGGAAGATAACAAACCTGTAAAGCCTCAAACAACAACATACATTCAAGAGCTTCCAGCTGTTGAAATTATTAAATATTGAATTTTATTTATTCTTACTTTTGAATCTACATTACATTTCGTAAATCGTGCGTTCAATATAAAAGTATGAAATACCAAAAACCTCATTATAAAAAATGTATTTAAACACATACAAGTTGATCTTTCACTCTAGAACAAACATGCATAATAACAGTTATCACATTAAACTCAAATCTAACAAAATTATTTTCTTGATATTTTAAGTATCCTTTCATAGAAATTATTATTCTTGAAAAATTGGTAGGATTTCTTTGGCTCTTACACAAGCTGTTAAATGGGAGCAAGCGGGAGGAATCATCTTTCTGATTGCAATCCTTGGCAGCAAAATGATTTGGCTGAATGTGGTTTTACTCATGTGCAAAATAAATATGAGTTAGATTCTATTAAAAGGCCTCAAACAAAGCATCCTTTTGGCAAACAGGTAGCCCCAGTGCTTCGTCTTCATTGAGGAATCTTAAGTTAGTGTTTCTCAAACTATAGTCCATGGACCACAAATGGTCCTTTAAGTTTTCCCTTGTGATTCACATAGATTTATTTGCAAAACTGCCATTGCTTGTAAACGAAATTAACAATGTTACTAAGTGCACTGGCATATTTTTCAGATGCATGCTCAAAACTAAATGAATTAAATCTGCATATATGGTAATTCTTTGGTTGTTCTTAATGTTCATGAGAAATTAAAGGGAACTTGGTTTGTGGGTTAGCTGTGTAAAACAGAGAAATTTTTTCCCATTTCCACACTTAGAATCTTTTTTTAGTAGAAAATTATATCATTATTGGAAAACAATTATGCCATGACATGCTCACATCTCAAAAGTCTGAGGTCACAATTTGAAATTTATTTTCATGCGTTAAGTAAAAAGAATTTCAATTGGTTCTTGATCCTTTCCATTGTGATTTCGAAAACAAGCTGTCATTGATTGAAGAACAGCAGTAAATTGAACTCTCTAATGACACCAGACTTAACATGAAATTCCTAGCAGAAGGTCTGGTTAGTTTCCGGACCTCATTAACCAGCAGAAACATAATATATTGAAATTGTACAATGGTGCTTTAAAAATTATAATTCAGTCTGCATCTATGTATCTGTATAAGAAAAGGACAGAAATTGATTTGATGTACGTCCTGATTTCAGACTTCTGTTAACAAGACTAAGTACAAACATAAATCACTGATCTCATTAACGTAGGGACCAAAATTTGTTTACTTTTTAGTTAATATGATAAAGATTATCCAAACTTTAACAATTTGAATTATTAAAAACAAATATAACTTTTCTTCTATTAATTTAACTAATTAATACCAAATGAAATAAATTTTAATTAACTGTAACTAAAAATATAAGTATATTGGCAGTGACATATGTTAAAAAAAATTGCTTGCAAATGGGCCCAGAACAAGATGGTCTGCAGAACATTCTAATTTATAAAAGTGGCCCTCACTTGAAAAAAGTTTGAGAAATGCTGATCCAACCCAATTGTTATAAAAAACCATGGTAATTTCAAAACTTCTAATTTCCAAAAAGAAATATAATAAATTAGGATATTATATTAATACAAGATTATAAGAAATATATAAATCTGAAATAGCTTCAAATCTTAATGTAATCAGTAATTATTGCTTTATAATATTGGAAGTGGATCCCAATATCATGGAATTCACTATTTATCTATTTAAAATTTATAATCAAAAGAGATGTCAGTTTAAGTACATCACTTACAAATTAGCTTGTAAATTTAGCAAGGTTAACAAGCGAAAATTCAACAGGTAATGTTTAAATGTAAAAAAAAATAATTTCACAAAAATTTAAGCAGCAGGTTTATTTAAAGTTTAATTTTACTCCTTCAATATTCCCATTAAATCTCATTTAACAGGAAGAAAAAATAAAAATTAAAAATTACTGAAAGATTCTTTTTTCGAATTCACAAGGAGGTACCAGAATCCCTAGCGCTAGTGAGACTCATTTTAAACATAAAGATTACTTTATTTGCCCTTCTAAGTAAAATCTTGCAACAAATATATTTTCATACCGCAAGTGTGAGAAATTAAACACGTTTTAGTTAGTGCCTTAAACTATCTAATACTCTACATAAAGTCTTTATTTATAGACTGTAAAATTTCTAACTGCAATTTTCTCGGCTAGTGTGTGCTAGCTTCTTTCTGAATACTTGTTTTAATTTTTCAAATGGTAACATATATTTCTTCTAATATTTTAACATTCTTGTGTTCATACTATTCTACGCCAAAAAACGAAATAAAAGGTGTGACACACACATGCACACACCAAAAAAAAAAAAAAAAAAAAAAAAAAACTGGTTCAATAAATTATTGTACTTACAGAATCAGTTGTCCATGACATTATCACCTTCAAAGTAGTTCCCTTCAGCACTCACACACTTTTGCATTCGGTGCTGCAATTGCTGGTAACAGTTCTGGAACGAGGCTTTTGGAAGACTCTTCATGAGATTATCGTTTCTGCCTGAAACTCTTCAGGTGAGGTAAATGGCTTCCCTTTAAGCAAGATTTAACTTTAGGAAATAAAAAATCCCATGGAGCCAAATCAGGTGAATAAGGAGGATGTCCCATCACAGTAATTTTTTTGTTGGTCAGAAACACTGCTTGACCGATAGGGCCGTGTGAGCAGGTGCATTGTCCTGGTGCAATAGCCATTCATCACTCCACAACTGTGGCCTTTTTTTTTTTTTTTTTTTCTTAATTTTTTTCACAAAGTCTTTTTAGCTTTAATGTAGTAGTTCTGATTAACAATCCGATCACTGGAAACCCATTCAATCATGATGAATATGCTGGACCCACACCCTTGGGCGTCCAGCACGTTCATCATCATCCACACTAAATTCCATCCTTTCTCCTAAAAACCATTTATGCCATTCAAACACACATGCATGAGACAAAGTTTCCTTCCTCTCCATAAGCTTCGATTGACATTTGAAATGTTTCCTCCATGGCCGATTTCTTAAGTTTCACAAGAAACTTGATGTTGATTGTTCGGTTTTTACATTAGACACTTTTCTGGCAGAATGCAATTGCACGCGCTCACTCGATCACGCAGTACTGCCCACTGGTGTGGTCTGTTAAGACGAAACTGGTCGCATGGATAGAGGAGGTGTGTGGCATGACGTTGCCAAAACAGTTGCTGCCAACTCCACTCTGTTTTCAAGCTACATGCTTAGTACCCCTTTTTTTTGTCACACCTCGTACAAAAACTTTTAATATGTAAAATTCTTTTAAATTTTAATTTTATTCAACAAAAATAAAAAAGTTTTATGAACTGACAATAAGTAGATATTTCTTTTACTTAAAAAAGAGAACCGAAGTATATCTGCAATGTATGTTTCCTTTATTTTTAATTTAAAATATATTTTTTAATGTCTAACTCTTGAGTTAGTCTGGAATTTTCATTTTCCAAAGTCCTTAAAAATGTTCTGAGAAACGTTCATCACTTTCAGAGGTGGTCTCACTGGGATACACAGGCACTGACAGCAGGATTTTTCATATATAATATATAGTAGACATTTACATAATGAGCGAATAAATGTCCAACTCCTTCTGTGATAATTTAATGACAAATAAAGAAGACATTTGTGGTAAGATTTGGCTTGGTTCATTTGTTACTGGCAAAGCACATTAGGGTTACCTGCCTAAGCGAATAAACATTTAAGGGAAACTAACATGTATTCATTTTACACATGGGAGAAAACCAAAAAAAAAAAAAAAAAAAAAAAAAAAAAAACCATGCAGTCAGTCTGTTGTTCATCTGGAACCCAAGTCAAACTACCAGTGCTTAGCGACATTGCCACTAGTTGTCCCTAATTGAGATAAAGGGGTCATATGAGAGGTGAAAGGAGTTGGCCTTGAACATAACTTAGAAGTTGTTCAACCTAATACCAAAAGTGCTTCATTTAACCTATTGAAATATTCCATGTGCCCTCAATTCAGTTTTCTTTTCCTCACATTCAAATTATTTTCAGATATTCCAACTACAAAATAAGGTATTTCAATCACAATATTGATAGCATCAGGAAATTACTGTTTATAAAAAAGTCTTTTTTCCACATGTTCCATTCAAGGAATTAAAAGTCAAGTACTCTGCATCAATCACACTCACTTATAAATTCTTCTGTTCAATACTAAAAAGTTATTTTTTTTATCTCAGTAGCTAAATCAAGTACTTCAACAAATTTATCCAATTGACTGTTAAAATTTTCAAGTAATTAAAATGAAAATAAATCAGTCATTCTATTATAATATATTATATCTGTTTTGGATGCAGGGGCATTGGAAATAAAAAAAAAAAAAAAAAAAATTCAATGGAGATACAATGCTGATTCTTGTTGCTTTAGTATCTTCAACTTTTCTTTAGCATGTTATTTTATTTAGCATTAAGTTTAAGGCATTATTGAAAGGAAAAAAATAGGTTATTGACAATCTTCTTGAGGAATTCATCTTCCTCTTTGAAATGCACTAATCAATTTAACTAAAAATTAATATCACATGCACTGAAAATTTTTAACAGTAAAAAATTTCTCGAGGAATACTTCTTCCTCTGTGAAATGCACTAATCAATTTAACCAAAAAATACCAAAGGACCCAGGTTCGAATCCCAAAGAAGGCATGCATGTAAAATTGTCTATCCCTTCATAGGAGGTAATGATGACCGCCTACTAAGTGCCTCCATAATAAAATGGCCACCACTTCTGGCCTTAGTTGTGGCCAATGCTGTGAAATGCACTAATCAATTTAACCAAAAAATACCAAAGGGCCCGGGTTCGAATCCCAAAGAAGGCATGCATGTAAAATTGTCTATCCCTTCATAGGAGGTAACAATGACCGCCTACTGAGTGCCTCCATAATAAAATGGCCACCACTTCTGGCCTTAGTTGTGGCCAATGCTGTTATGGGCAAATGACTCCCATTCATAAAAAAAAAAAAAAAAAAAATATTTGATATCACATGCACTGAAAATTTTTAACAGAAACTGATACAACACAACAGTTGAATTTTAAAATTCTGGCATAAATTAAAATAGAATAAATATATAAAACTGTCCAAAAAATAAAAACTTAAAAAGGAAAAAAACAAAGAGTAATTAAACTATAATTAATATATAGAATTACAATTAGTACAGATGCCGAATAAAATGGCCATAATTATTAAATACTACCCACAGACAAGATCATATGAACAGGTGAAACAGTATTACTACAGGAAACATTTAACTATATAAATCACCTTATACCATCTGTTTGCATTTACAGCGATGCTGGATGTTTTCTATATACTCATCATTTACTTTATTGACATTCTGGTAAAACAACTTTTAAAATAATTTAATTTTCATGAAGCTTTTTTAAGGAAAAAGATTATTTTAATTACTCAACAAGCAATTGTTCAGTGTATGATACTACAAAATAAAACTGACTGAATTACATCAGTAAATCAAAGCTTTTTAGCTACTGGACGAAAAGATAAAGAATCTATCTTAGAATCAAAATTATAATGTTTCTAATGTACAGTGTTAAGTTATTAGTTTTAGATTTTGATGCATAAAATTCATATTTTAAAATTTTACAGTAACTTTCTGAAAGCTTTTTACAATGCTAATTTCTTTAAAAAAATAAGTAATAATAGGTAAACAAACAATAAATAAACAGTTTTAAAATATTAGTAATATTATACATTAAAATGAGAAGTATTATATCAAAGGTTCCTTTCCTGCATTACCTGGTGAATTAAATTCATTCCTGAAAAACTTATTAAAATTGGTATTAAACCAATCAAGCAGAGTAAAGATTAAGATTTTTAAAGCATTATGTCCTTTACATCTGATACTTTTTTAAAAAATTAATAAAAACAGCAAATTCAACTGTGTAAATATTTATTGTAAAATGTTATACAAATATTAAATGAATATAATACATAAATTGTGCTTATATTAACAAATACACCCTAATCTGAAGATTCAATAGTTTTGGATGTTTCTTTTAAAACTTCTAAAGCAGCCTGGTATTCTTCACTTTCAGCAAGCTCAAGTTCATTATCCTAAATAAGTAAAAATAACATTTATTCATACCTATCATATTTAATAATATATTTTTTTTTTTTTGAAATGATGGGAACAGTACTCAGATAAATCACAAGAGAACTAGGATACATGTACGAAAATAGAAAGCAATTAACCACTTGCACTATGACTAAACTTCATGGTTGCGGTGCCGTGCGCTACAATATAACAAGCGGTAAAGTGTCTCATTTACGCCGCTCCGCGTCTGCGAGTGCAATCCAGAGCTGTAACTCGAGAAATAAACAATCTCGTTGTTAGGCAACATGTGCACCACGTTATTTTCATTTTTGTGCGCAGTTTGAGACAAAAGCATCTTGACGTGCGTCGCACGTCTTTTTAGTGCAAGTGGTTAAAATGCATCATCAGCAAAGCCCAACACAGTTTTAAATGGATCCTTGCAACTAATTTCACTCCATAAATTTTGCCCATAAAGGTACATAATATTTTACTAACTGAAAATCTCCCTTCAGTGAGACTATAAAATATCCTAGATTTTAGTTTTACACAACCAATGCCTTAGCATTTTCCTTTATATAAAAAAAAAAATAATAATAATAATCACAAAATACACTGCACAGTACAATGTCCGAAATCTGGACATCCATTATCCGGCATGATCTAAAATCTGGACCTCAAAGCCTCAAACTTTTTTTTTATTATTATTATTAATGCTTTACGCATTTTTTTCCTTCCATAATAAAAGATTTTCACTTAAAAATTCTGATTCTTAATTTCACTTCGGCACTAAGTAAAATACCTCGTTATGGTAAAAAAATCATGGAAGCATAAATTTGTGAGATTAATAATTTGGCTCCCTAGCTGAATGTCTACTTGGCACACATCTCAAACTGAAACATTCACCTATTTTACATCCCTGATGCCGACCTGGCGAGTCATTATTTATTTATATTTTGCTTTCATCACTGCATGTTTATCAATGCATGACAGCTTCGGTAATAACTCATGTTGTGATGTCTAAACTTTTTTTATATTAGTAATTGAATAACAAGAGTATGGCAACCTTTTATGCTAACATTATGTTTGGCAATGATTATAGATTTTTAAATGCTCTAAGAAATGTTGACGAGGAAAAATTCAACAAAAATTTCTTTTAATATGCTAAAAATAGATTTTGTTAATGAAACTCATAGGCCAAAATATTACATTAAGTGCTATTTTAATTAAGAATAACCGATATGTTATTAACCATAAATCCAGAAGCGACCACAGAATATGTCGGCACTGGACAGCAGAATTTAGGGACGACAAAATTTTTGGAAGTTGGGGAAGCAGCAAAATTAAGAGATGAGAAGTTTTTATAATTTAGGGAAAGCACTGGAATCCAAAGCACTGTGAAAATTTAGAACTTAGGAAAGCACTTTAGCAGAATTTAGGACCTGTAGAGATTGCACCAGGTGGTTATTGAGCGCTGGCCCTAGATAAAACCTTAAGTATATGTGGGAGTTTATTTATTCAGGACTCAGATTAGTTTGAAGCATGTGCAAGAAATAAACATAGGTATAGTAAATAAGTAAACTAATACAATTCAGGCTTCATTCAGTATGCATTAGGAGCAAGACAAAATTTAGCGAACAAAACAACTTGGCTTTCGTCCCCAATTTTGTGATACACAGCCAATAATGCATAACTGAAGCTATTAAGGTATGCTAAAATTATCTTTACTGATTCTAAGGCATTTCAATTAATGTAGCAGACTGCACTGCTCCCTGATCTTCTAATTTGATCCAGCTTATTATTTTTTGCAGACTGTTATTACGGCAATTTTATAAAAACTAAGCTTGAACTTTCGATTATGTCGAAAACAGTTTCCAATTCTGGAGTTGCCAAAGGATCTACAAAGTGAAACCATGTTTCAAAGTCCATTAAACAAAAAGTGAAATTAATTCAAAATTATGCGAGGAGTATGGCATTGGAAAGTCCACAGTATGTGACACAAGAAAAAAGAAAAAGGAACTTTTTGAATTTTTTGTGGCAGCATCTTAACTTACATTGAAAGAAATGCTTAATAAAGTACACAAATAAATATTAAGCTTTTTTTGTAATTTTTGAAACCTTTTAGATCACAATTGTTCTTTATTTCATAAATTACGATTTCATATTTTTAATTGTATAATTTCTGCATGACATCTTACCAGATTTAAATTGATGATCAATTATCCGGAAAAATCCCAAATCCGAATCGCTGAAGTCCCAACCAGTCCGGATTTTGGGCTTTATATGATTTTTTTTTTACAAATTCCATCATTTTTTAAAGGGATCAATTATTTAAGAGGAATAAAATATACATGACCAAATTAAAGAGTCTTCATATGATACAGAGAAAGAGAAACTGCACATCTCAGCCAATTTTTATATTCCATAAAGTGCCTGTACTAGATTCATATGTATAGAAGGTGCTATGCACAGAGAATGCTGCATTACTGTTTTAATTAATATGGCACGAAATTCTGGACTATAATGACAGAAACATCAATTGCTCCTCTTTAAAAAAACATTCATTGTTGTTTTTGAATCAAGCTTCATCACTTAATTCATGAACCCCATGAATTACTACTAGGCTAAAATCCACAGTATAATACTCGGCTAGAACCCACAATAACCAGATTTGATAGAATTCAGCTTTTCTGCCACCCATAATGTGCAGGCTGACATAAGTTTTCATTTTGAGGGTAAGAAAGAACTTTTATTATTATTATGAAGTTTGAACTGTTCGGCTACGGCTGTATAAGTCATGAAGGCACAGTCATAAGGCATAAAATGCGAAAGATCTGTTCACACTTGTGAGACAGAATCTAAGGTGTAGCTAATTAGAAAAGCTAAATTTGCACATGCCTGGATACGTCTACAGCTTTCCCACTCTGTTTTCCCGCTTAATAGGTTTTGTGCATTCGCTCTGATTGGTCAATTCTTATACCAAGTTGGCATAAGCTTGAAAACTAAACTTTATGCCAACCCCCCCCAAACAGTTTTTGCGATGTAGCTACGTCTGGTTATCTAGAAATGAAGCTCAGCTCAGATATGTTATTCACCATAAATCCAGAAGCGACCACAGAATATGTCGGCACTGGACAGCAGAATTTAGGGACGACAAAATTTTTGGAAGTTGGGGAAGCACCAAGCAGCAGTTATGACATTTATACCAGATCTGAACACAGCCTTAAGGAAAACTTAAGCAACTGTTCAAAGTTTTACGACTAAACTTATAACAAAAATAGAAACCGTTCTTCAAACAAAGCTTCCTAAAAGTCTGTGTATAACACTCACCATTCTTGTAATGAGTTTTCACAACCAAAATTCAATGTTCCTTCACGTAACACTTAACTAAACTGTAATAAAGCTGCAAAATGAACTACAGTGATGAAATGCCAATCTTGTCAGCATTCTTAACCTGCGGGAAGGCTCGTGGGGTGTATCATATCCCAATCCTACATAAAAGTGGAATATTCCTAACTTGTGAAACTGAAATTCTGTGATGCTTTCAGTAGCTGAGTTTCTAGTTGTGGTTGACTTTCAGAACAGCTTTTTCTTTGCCTGTGTGTTTCAGAAAAAGATTTATCGGTATTTTGTTGGAACTGGGGTATGACACACCCCATGCGCCTGTCCGTTTAAGTAATTTTCTGACTGAATATGTAGTTCAGAAATTTATTTCTAGAGTGTAACAGTAAATATTTCTACTCGCAAGTGATTTTAAAGTACTTGACATTAAATTCTTAAAAATTTCTAACTGCATTATGGTAAAAAGAATGAGTCCCTATAAACTGGAGATGCAACGCATGTGAGATTTATTAGAAATATTTGAAAGCGATGAAGATTGCATTTCGGAAACTGAATATGAAACTAAGAATATTTTCTACAATGTTTTGGTTTCCAAAAAGATAAAACATTAATTCCTGATGTTCCTAAAAAGGGAAAAACAGTTCTTATGCTTTCAACATTATATAACGATCATACTATAGATGATACTATTGGAGAAAATAGAACGTCAGGAATTATATGTTTTAATAATATGACTAAAGGAGCAGTGGATATGGGGAATGAAATGTCAGCCAATTATTCAATAGCCAGAATAACAAGGAGGTGGCCAATGGTAATTTTCTTTCCTGCACTGAATGTTGCTGTAATAAATGCTTGAATTATATTACATTCAACTGCTAATCCACCAACCAGAAACAGAAGTCTGTTTTTGAAGGACTTAGCATTACAATTAATGAAAAAAAGTATAGAACAAAGATCAGAGATTAACACTTTTCCAAGAAATTGACGTATTGCATGCAAAACAAAAGCAGAAGTTTCGACGAAGAATTAAAACGAATACATGAATTAGAAACAACTAAGTATGAAAGATGTGATAAATTTTTTGCCCTCGTGCCAAAGACAGAAGAATGTGAATGCAATGTTTAAAATGTGAAAATATTCTGTGCCAAGAACACATGAATGTATTTCGTTCAAAGTGTGAAGAAATAAAATAAGCATGGTGTATTATAGATGTAACGAAACTTGGAGGCATGATGTTTATTTTTTTATTATTTTCATTTATCTTAATTTTAACCCTAAGATTATTTCGGAAATTAATTTTTTTGAAACCTAATTATTATTCACTTATTTATAATACACGAGAACAAAAAAAAAAGTTTTAAAACTAAATAATACTCTTTTTATTGTATTTTAAATATTGGGATATGTCATACTCCACGCGCCCACTCTAGTAACTTTTCTTGGTGCGACTTCCGCCGGGTTAAATCGACTTAACTGAACATGCTTTTCATTTCTTCAGGAACATTTGCCTGTTGTAAGCATATGAAAATATTTTCCATTTTTTAAAAACAGAGTATTTTTGTAATCATATTAAATCCAGTGCTTTAGTTGGGATATTCTAAAGAAATCTGAACAACAAATGCTATATGAAAATTTTTATCAAATTTTTATCAACAAATGTTTAAACAGCAAGAGTCTTTACAAAAGCTCCTAAGCTTCCAGTTTTAGATGAGACATGCACGGAAATACACTGCAGAAATTATTTTTCACTTATCCACTAAATCCCTTATTTTAGAAAAAATACACAGATGACATTTAAAGTATTTCTATCTCATATATTTGATGCCTTTCTTAATTTATATACAAATTAAAACTAACAAAGAAATAAACAACACTACTTAATTCCTTACTTACCATAACAACCAAATGATATAACTTATTACATTACCACAAGCCAACCAGCAATCCCATAATGGTACCGTATCTTATTATAATTACAAGACCTTTCTTTTTAACAATGTTTAAAGTTCCACACCCAAGTTATGTAAAACAAAATATGAACACATCACATAGTACTTATCAGACATTATTCATTTTCAGTACAACCACTTCAATATAGCTATGACACTGAGTGCAATAGATGTGAAAAAGAACCCTTGAATGAAGATTTCAAATTTAAAAACTCGAACACGAAACCCAATAGATAAGCTTAAGGGGAAAAATCAACAAAATTAATCCTTCAACATTTAAATCTTTTATTATTAATAATATTTTTAATCTGAACTTCTATATCAACAAAAATGTTTTTAACACTTGCTACATCAAAACTTACGAAATATAGTAACAAACTTTTCAATAACCTCAGCACCATTCATCTAGATTGACCTGAAGAGTTAAAAATAAAATTCGAAAAAGACATACATTGTGAATACACAATATCCACATTCAAGCTAATATAATGGAAAATCAAACTCAATGTATAGGATCGTATTACAAAGCAAATCAAATATATAAGAAAAAATCCACCATAAAAAACACATTAAAATCGTAATCAAATCCACAAACTCAAAAAAAAAAAAAAAAAAAAAAAAAGAGGAGGAAAGATACTTTTCCATTTTGCCAGCGCAGGCGAAAAAGTCTCAGTAAATGTACAACCGATGACAAACTAAATATCCTCGTTGGTAACCTTTTACGCCTCATTTTTTCAAAGCAAGTCGCAGCCATTTCTTATCAGATTGATTGTTTTTTTCAATACTGGCATACAATTACATAAAATTTTTACCAGGTAGTTCAATTTTATGCCCTTTGGCCCTTCGAGGTAATTAAGTCAATTAGGATGCAATTACACCACTCACCCGAAAATATAGAATAGGCAAAGTCAAGGGTTAAGTCCATCCATTCTAATGAGAATGCGCTAGCAAAATAAAGCACTGCAGTTCCACATAATTTCTGAGTAAACTTTTCGTACCAATTGAAATAATTCTTGCGTTTAAACTTGTATTACAAATTAAGATTTAACTTGAAATTAATATATATAATCAATGAGAGAATTACGATTTTTGTAGCGTAATTTACGTGAGATGAAATCACTTGGTGTCAAGTGATATAAAATGGCGAATCAGGATGTTGTACCATGAAAGCATAGTAAATTCTTAAAAGTCTTTTTATAAATTTATTGTCTTTATTTATTGGCTTTTTACAAAATTTTAAACAATATTAAAATGTCTTCAAAGTAAAAAATTCTTAGAACTAACATTTCTTAACATATTTTATGTGTATACTGTGTGTTGTCGCCAATAAAGTCTGCTTGGCGAAATTTGCGACGGCAAAACGGAAAAGTACCATAAGAAATTCATAACAGGAATAATCATTACCAGGTCATGTTTCAACAAAAAAGTGCCTATCATTCTATGTGGACAACAGTCCTGGAAAATAATTTTGAATTCAATTAATAGAAATAACCCACTGCTAACAACAGGAGATAATTATACAGGCAGAGGGAAGGAAGTAAAATAGGGGTTCCCAACCAGTGGAGAATTTCATAGTTTCAGAAGCAGGGATGCAGTCAGCCTTTTATTTAGCTGTTAAGTATACAATTTTAGCTTATGAAACAAAAACAAACAAAAAAAAAAAAAAAAAAAAAAAAAAACTTTCATTCCTGTTTTCGTATTTACCAAGATTTTCTGATATATTTTCTGTTGCTTAATTTATACAACACACTAGAAAATAATCTAAATTTAAATAAATGTGCATCCATTCCACAACATTTTTTAACTATAGAATAGGAATATTTCTCTTTGGAAAATGCAAAAACATAGCTTTTAATCCACAGCTTGTTTACATGCGACATTTTGAAAGAAAAATAAATTTAAAAGTAGTAGATGATATTGCTCATTTTAAATAATAAGCTATCATCAGAATTTTTTTCCCCCGAAACACTTGCTTTTTTTTTTTTTTTTTTTTTAAATTCTTTATTGAAATAATTCTAAAAATGTGCATACATTTTTAGAAACATGTAGAAATTAATCCCATGCACAATAATTCTTGGTACTTAGTTATAATTACATCACCTGTTATTTAAACAATGCCAAGATTATTGATAAATCAGTAAAGCTATACATACCAACTTAGCATAAAAAAACTACGGAATAATTACACTTACAGAATACAATTACTTACAAGAATTTCTTGTAGTTCATTACGTGCCATTTGGTAACGTTTCACAGTATCAGGAATCATCATTATTGATTCTTTTATAACTTCCTCCTGTTTAAAAAAAAAAAAAAAAATACTGAGGAAGGAAGGGGGAAAACTCTAAAAACAAATCAGAGAAAATCATAAAACCAACTTCATATTAGTCATCATAACCTTTGAGATACTGGTATGATTATGATAAGAAAATTTAAAATATGAATTCAAAAACTATATTATACTTCATAGTCTACACAGCATATGATTTATAGGCATTCCCTACTTATCTAAAGGGTTACAGAATACAGAAGTATCAAAAACTGGAAATAACTGAAATAAAACCTCAGATCTTTCAAATTTTAAATGTATTCTGATTGCATAAAAGAAATAATGTATAATACATGGTGTGTGAATAGATGACAAACACACAAGTTCTGGTAACATATAAGAAATATTTTCACAGTACCTAATGATTTATTATAATAAGCATGTTCATAAAAGAAAAATATTTAAAAGTATGGTTAATTATGAATTATTCCATTGACTGCAAAACTCACCAAGCAGCACGATTAGGTATCAATTATGGATAACTGCAGTGTCACAACAGATTCGTAGCATCTGCACCTTCATTTGATTCTTGATAAGTCATGCTTTGTTTTTATTGCACAAGGATATAAATTAACTGTTATTTTTGTAATTTTTCCCTTGTAGTTTGAAAAAAGTAAGTTCAAGGCCTATAGAATCACATTAGCATCATTTTGTTAAAGCCTGCACTCACTAAGTGTCTGTCTTCCAGTTCAAGTGAAAGATTTTGTTACTTTTTAAGGATTATGTTAATTCTATTAACAGTTAAATTTTGAGTTAAACTTCCTTTTCTATCGACTCTTACTTCAACTTACCACTTCCAGCCAGAATGTAGTTTTAAAATCACGTCTGAATGGTAATGAGGAAGAGCGGTATATAACCGTGAAGTTCTACAGTCTTAGTGAGAGATATACTAGATATTCTGGCTGCATGCATCCGCCTTTTAGGCTACTCTCTCGTAAGCTATTGTTACACTCGGCCGTACTTTAGGACCTTGATAGCTACGCAGTCAATTAGCATTAAGGGGCCAACTCTGTTAGAATTCTGATAGCTTCGGCTATATCTCTTTACTTAAGATTAGTTTAGTTTAATTCTTAAGTTCAAGACCAAGAGTCAACTTTATTGTACAACTCCAAGATGGTGCTTTGTTAAACTTCAATTGGAATAATAAAGGGTTATTTCACCCTTCTTACTCGTTGTTTCCTGTATATGAACTCAAGCGATTATTCGTTTATTAGTTCTCAAAATTCTTCACTTTCAACTGTAACTTAGAATTACACACTGGAGAATCCTACAACTTCTTCCTGTAAATAATCTGTCTTGTACTTTTTTTAATTACTTTAAAAGTTTATTTATGTATTTTATCAATTAAAGCATTAGAATAATTTGAATAGCGCTTCTGAAAACTATTTCTCAAAGTAAGCAATTTTTTTAAATATATCTTCACGTAAACTAAAGGATAAATATTAGTAAATGCTAATTTTAACATGTATGACGGCTTAAATAATAATCTAAAATAGTATAAAAAATTATGATGCTAGGACATAAACTTTTTTTGTAATTTTATTCCTACAGTTAGGCTTAGTGACACAAATCCCGTCCTGTGGGACGATTCCTTTCAACTCCCACCCGTTCCAAAGGAATACCTTAAAATAAGGTGCACCATCTTTAATGGGAAACTTGTCATTTGGTATAGAAAGAGAAAATGTCAGAATTGAGACATTTCTACTAGCTGCATCAAATTCTTGAGTTTATTGCACAGAAAAAGGCCACTTCCCTTTACAACTGCATTCTAAGTTGATCATTTTCTTGAGAAAAAATGACAGGTACAATGAAATAAAAAATCTAATGTGAACACCACATCCTTGTATGACCTACAAATTTTTCTGCACTTCATTTAAACTTACTTCCTCAAATCATTTTAATTTAATTAACCGATTCCTCAAGGCAAGTTGAAAATGACACATAAAATTTGAAATTTTGAAATTAAATAACTCGATCAAATTTTTTCATATGAAAGTCAAACTTGTTATAATATTATTTTTTTATAATAAGTATAAAACTTTTTTAACTATATGTGTAGAAACCAGGAGACCACATTAAAAACTATGCAAGTCATATGATATGGATTAATCTCGAAATGATGCATTGCAGAAAAAGGCACGATTTTTAGAATAGAGAGGGTAATAAAGATATTTTGATTTTTTTTTACACAATATATATTATGTAATGATTTTTTTAAATCAATTGATTAAATTAAATTCTATTAATATTGCTTAATAATGTGTTGGCGATTCTCTACCTAAATTGCATCCCTGTTCCTAAATTTTGGCGAAATCCTTTCTTTAGTATAAAATATATTAACCTGTTGGCGCCCGCCAAATCGCCAAACTCATAAATCTGTCATATTACATAAAGTACTTAAGAACACTCCTGATGAGAAGATAGCGTCACCTCGTGATTTCAATTAATATCGCTGATTGGAGGAGCCTCGTGACGTACACATATGTATAAGTAGGGCTTCTGCTCAAGGTACGAGGAGAACGCTTGTGAGATGGATGCTAAAATAAACCTACCACTTTATATTCCAAAATTTGTCTCATTCCTGTTGCCCCGGCTGCACAAAAACAATAATGTATGAGAAATTACATTTCAGAAAGCCGGTAGGATACCACCTTCAAAGGGATTATCTAAAAAAGAAGATACCCCAAGGATTATACGGATAAAATGTTACGCACTTTAGATGAATTTGCCGCTGTGCGACTTGTTCTACATTTTTCTAGGCATTTTTCTTGCTTCAAGAGAATCATCCTTCTGTTACCTGTATTCTGGTATTCTGCAGATTATTTTACGTCCAGAGAAGCATCCTTCTGCCCCCTGTGATGTGTGATCTGTGTTTCCATCGAAAGTTCGTCGTTCATCAAATGTGCTCTTACCGTTGACCTACTTTTGAGGATGGAAATCTTTCCCTACGTCTACGCCGTTCTGTGTTGCTCTCGAGAGCTTTGTGCTTGTGTGGTGATTGATCGTGTTTTGCGAAAATCTAATCAAGAGTGCACAAAAATGTGTATTTTCGTGTCGATTTCATCACTCGTATTCTCGTCACAATAAGTCAAACAGAAGCAATTAGTAAAAAGATTGGCGATGCAAATGATATTATTACTATTGAATTATAATTACTGATTTAATAATAGTGTTTTTATTTTTGAAAATTTTAAAAAGTATTATTTTTTTGGTATAAATGTATTTTAAATTTGGTATTTAAAGGATGTATTTTGGTTTTAATATTGTTTTGGGAAAATTTAAAGAGTATTATTTTTTGATTTTAGTTTTATTTTGTTGTTTATTATTATGATAGTTTTATTTATGAAAGTATTATAGTTTTATTTAAAAGTATTATTAGTTTATTTATGAATTATTATTAAAAGAATAATGGCTAATGAAAACCTCTCTGATCCTGATGATTCATTAAGGGCAGCTAGCGCTGAACCTGAAACAAGTATAATTCCCTTTGACGCGCAGAATGATATGGATATAAATTCATGGCTTGAGTACTTTAACAAAACTCATTTAGATAAAGATGAAACGTGGAAGCTTAATAATGTAGCTCGATATCTAAAAGGTAATGCACTTAGCGTATATGTCAAAAACTGCCATAAAATTACTAAATATGTGGAATTAGTCCAAATTTTAAAGGAAAATTTTTTCGACCCCACTTTAACTACGTTTGGTGATTTTGCCAATTACAAGTACAATCATAAAGAGGACATAACGCAATATTTTCGCAAAAAATTAGATATTGGTAAAAAATTAAATCTAACTCATGAAATGATCTTGGAGGGTCTGACGGATGGCCTTCCTATAGAATTAAAATCCTTAATGACGATCAACGCACCCTCTGACCCCATCTCTTGGCTTACTCATGTCCATAAGCTTATTAAGATTAGCGAAAATCAACAAATCAAAAGTGCACCTCCCAGATTTGTTACTCCGATTGGGAACAGTCCCCAAGATTACAATCGATTTAATAGAAGTAGAATTTCAGCTACTGTGAGACAAGATTCTCCTAGACCCAACAATTTCCAACGTTTTCAGAGACCAAGTAATTTTTATAATCGGTTCAGTGGTCCAGGATTTACAAGCCATCATAATTATAATTCTCAAAATAGATTGCCATTGCCACCCAGTCCCTGTAGACTTTGCACCCGGAACGGAATCCCAAATGCTTTTCACTGGTTTCAGGTTTGTCCTTTCAGAGGGAGAGATCTGATACACCTAATGTTACGCCCCTTGCAATAGAACCAACCCCAGAAACCCCCTCACAGTAGTTGACTATTAAAGGTGTCGGGATATTTGCCCAATAAGAAACGTCTAGAGTGTGTTGTAGACAGTGGTGCCACCATATCAATAATTTCTTCCAAAACAGCTAGACAATTACGTTTAAAAGTACAAAGAGTTAGATCATTTTCAGTAACCCAAACTAAAGGAAAAATAATCTTCAACAAAATATGTTGTATACAAATGAAAATTGGACGGATTAGTAAACCAAATTACCTTGTTTGTTCTTGATAATAATTTGAATTATGTAATTTTAGGACTTTATGAATGCAAATTATTTGAGTTGAGTATTGATTGTACTAATTTAAAAATTAAACAGAGAGCTATTGTACTTAATGATGACTGCCATTTTGACAGCCGACCCATATCTCTACACCTCCAACTTCAAGGTGGTACAACAAATGTTTATCCATGTGTTAATAATAATAATGATGATGATGTAAGAAATTTTCCAACCTGTAAATCTCGGACTACAAATCCAAAGGAATTAGTTTCTCAGTCTAACATTTATGTGAAAAATGCTGTTTCTAATACTGTCGATAACAAAGAGTATAACTTGGAAAAATTGTTAAATGATTATTCATCTGTGTTTTCTAAAAATAAGTATGATGTAGGAAAAATTAATATTGAACCTCAACGAATTAATTTAAATT